TTGATGCCCCTCTCCATAGGGAAAAAACCAGTTGGTTGGCCATTGATGAGGATAGAGAAAAAAGTGGCTTTGAGATTGCTCATGAGAAGGTTAATGGCCTTGGGAGAGAAACCAAAAGCAGTGAGAATGGCCACTAAGTAATCCCAGCTCAACTTGTCAAATGCTTTTGCCATATCCACTTTGATGATGATGTTGCCACCATTTGTTTTTCTGTCCAGGGCATGGTACATTTCTGTCGTGAGGAGAATTTGATCTGCAATATCCTTTCCTGGTTGGAAGGCTCCTTGTTCAGGTGAGATGAGTTTATGAAGGAGAGGTTTGAGTCTGTTTGTGAGCATTTTGGTGTGGATTTTGCTCATGAATGTGGAGAGGGATATTGGTCGAAAGTCTTGGAAGGAGCTGGGTGAGTTTGTTTTGGGAACTAGGGTAATGAGAGTTGCACCATAGGCTTTGGGGACAGGGATCCCTAGGAAGAAATCTTGCGAAGCTTTAAGAAGGTCTGGTCCTAGGATGTGCCAGGTTTTCCTGAAGAAATCACCATTGTATCCGTCTGGACCACTTGTGCTGTGTGGATCAAGGTCCCAAATATATATGTATATATATATATGTGTGTGTGTGTGTGTGTGTGTGTGTGTGTGTATTTCGAAAATACAGATGTATTTTAAAATTATATATTGCTTGTGTCATTTTAATTATATGATAATTATATTTTGACAAAACAAATTTTATTATATATATGTAAGGCTGAAATTATATATATATATATATATATATATATACATATTATTTTATTTTTCATGATTTTAATTATATGATAATTATTGATGTCAAAATAAAATATACTGTATTTTTATTAAGGGATGGCCGAAATTTTAAAGGGAAAAATACAAAACATATTTTGATATTCCACCTAATAATATATTTGATTGATATAATCAAATATTTGATTAATAAAAGGATATTTGTCTTGTTGTGCTGGTTGGGGACATTGCACTAATCCTAATTTGTTTTGTCCCTAAGCTATTTCGTAGAAATTCATTTAAGTTAAGTATTATAAAATGAAATAAATCCCACCCCATTTTGATATGCAAAAATTCGGCCATATCAACAAAGAGAGAGAAAATTCTATTTTGTGTTAAAAAGTCATCTTTCTAAAGTGTTAGAAATATACACAAAATATTATAAAGAAATATTTAAAAGATAAATATTTTTACTATATATTTATTACTCCCTAAAGTAGTAATATTATAGTTTTTACTATCCTATATTAAACTTTCTAGCACAAGTTTAGTCTAGGACTCCGGAGCAAGTTCGTGTGGATACGTTGGAGGCTTCATACCTTTGGTGCTACGTTCATCTCCTCAAAACCATCCCCGACCGTTTCTCCGTTCTCTATTTTCACCGTTAAGGTAAATTTCTTGCTATAGCTAGTAATTTACGTAAGTTGTTTGTAGAAAATTTAGCACAACTGAACTGGTTTTCCATTGATCATAAACCGATATATATACAAGTACATAAATGGGCTATAAGTACAGGCCCAATAACACAAAATCTACATCTAATTACAAATATCCGCTAACACTCCCCCTCAAGTTGGAGCATGAAGATCCCGAATGCCCAACTTGAACAACAAGAAATCAAAAACATTTTTGGGTAATGGTTTAGTGAAGATGTCAGCCAATTGATATCGCGTAGGAACATAGCGAGTAGACACCTCATGGCGCTGAACAGACTCACGAACCGTATGACAATCAACATCGATATGCTTCATCCGTTCATGAAACACTGGATTAGCTGCAATGTACAAAGCTGATTGATTATCACAATATAAACGCGGAGGATATAAAATAGGGACACCTAACGCGCCCAAAATGCCATGCATCCAGCGTATCTCAACACACGCGTTGGCCATGGCCCTATATTCAGCTTCTGCAGAAGATCGTGCCACGGTAGTCTGTTTCTTCGTCTTCCATGACACCGGGGAAGTGCCCAACATAATGAAATATCCGCTAACGGACCGTCGAGAGAGAGGGCAACTAGCCCAGTCAGAGTCACAGTAAGCAGTAATCTGAAGATTACTAGTAGCACTCAGAAAAATTCCCTGACCCGGGTGGCCTTTGATATAACGCAGAACACGCAACGCAGCATTCATGTGATCAATAGTTGGGGCCTGCATAAACTGGGACAAAACATGAACAGAGTGACAAATATCCGGACGAGTGATAGTAAGATAAATCAGGCGGCCAACGAGACGACGATATCGGGCGGGATCATGAAGGAGAGGAGCTGCCGAGGTAGCTAGCCCGTGCGCCGTCGGCATGGGAGTGCCCGCCGGCTTGCATCCCAACAGCCCGGCCTCTTGTAAAATCTCCATGGCATATTTGCGTTGACAAAGGACCATGCCTGACGGAGACCTGGCACATTCAATCCCCAAGAAATATTTTAC